CATACTACTACCAAGTCCCGAACAGAAAGGTGAATTTAGAATTACAAGAAAAAGAAGAGAGTATATACTCAGAAAACATATGAACTGAGCTGACTTGCCTTGTATAGGTGTTGTGAGGGTTAAATAAGATGTACAGATAGTGCCTAGCATAGTGCTTGGTAAAAAGTACTCAATATTAACTTTCTTTATTCTCATCTTGCTTGAAATCCTAGTTTTATGTGTTGTATGTGTGTGCTCTACATTTTAGATCCCCTCAAAAACTCCAAGTGTCAAAAGTATTAGTCAACTGACACATCACCTTCTTAATGAAGCCTCCTCAAATCACTACTCTTAAAGAATTTTGTGCTTTGGTTCTTTGAGAGTAGTGACAACAACTCTTGTCAAAATTTCTAAAAGAATGAATGACTTAAATACAGTGGAAACTCAAATCTTTTTTTGAATGAAGAATTTAAAACTGAAATGGTGAGTTTGGGCATGAGGTCAGAGATGAAGATCTCCAATTCATTCATAAAAATCCAATTTATGCTGGGTATGAATCAAAGAGATTGTATAAATGCAAAGCAAGGTTCTAATATCATAGGGGCAAGTACGTAATAAATCACAACCTTCTGACTTCCTGCTGGGAATTCTCAATTTTGACCTTTAAACTTTGAGAGCAAAACCAATATGAGGAATTGGTCTTAAAAATGAAGAGCACAGCCCTGGCCGATTTAGCTCAGTGGTACAGCATCAGCTTGCAGACCAGAGAGTCCTGGGTTCGGTTTTCGCTAAGGGCACATACCTCTTTTGCAGTCTGTCCCCATCCCGGTTGGGGTCATGTGGGTGGCAACCACTCCATGTGTCTCTCTCGCATTGATGTTTCTCTCTCTATCTTCCCTCCTCTCTCCCTCCCGCTCTATCTGAAGATAAAAGCGAAGATGTCCTCAGATGAGGATAAAAAAAAAAAATGAAGAGCACACGCCCTGCTGGTGTGGCTCTGTGGTTGAGCATCAACCCATGCAGCAAGAGGTCTCAGGTCTCATGCTTAGATTGTGGGCTTGATCCCCAGTAGGGGGAGTACGAGAGGCAGCCAATCAATGTTCTCTCTCATCCATGTTTCAATCCCTCTCTCCCTCTCCCTTCCTCTCTCTAAAGTCAATAAAGAAAAAAAAATATTCTTTTAAATGAAGAGCACATGGTCCCTATACTGTGACTGCTTTTTCTCCAAAGCCTTTCTGTTGTTCTGCAGTTTGAAACTATTTATTGAGACTGGAAAATATCATTGATACCTATTGATCTCAACTAGAATGATCTGCTAGCATTTGGAACTCCATATTCACATCATTGTGGTGGCTATGCATCCCACTTTGCCTAGGACAGACTTGATTTACAACAGTTTGCTATAGACAAACTGCAGTTCAGGACTAAGCATTTCATCACATTCTCTTAATAAAATATCCTCACAACAGTATTATTAATTTTAACTTTTTTTGGCTTTTTGTTTCCTTTTAAACTATTTAAGTATGAAAGCCAAAATAAAAGACAATCTACTGTAAATTTTATTTATATTACAGATAAGACCTCTGCTTTTGTCTTACCAATTAAACTACTAATATTCTTATCTGTAGTGTTTAAAATCTGAACACCAACAATTCTAGTTTCCTTTCCTATTCTAGAATAACTACTACTTTTAGTTTGGCATAATACCACCCAGACAATTTTTTTTTAATTATATTTACCTATACATATATGTAGCAGTATACAGAGTATTATCTTTTCAATGGGGAGAGTGTTTACATAAATAGTATCCCACTGTTGAACTAATACCCATTTTCTCAATGGTTATTAGTAAGATAAAGAGTAATTAATTTTTGCATGTAGGCCTCATATTTTTCCAATTTGATGAACTCTCCAGTACACACATTTCATTTGTACGCTCATTTTAATTCTTCTTGGGTAATTTTGGTCATATATATGGCCTTAGAAATTTGGCATTTCCTCCAGTTGTTATAATTTATTTCCACAAAGTTTGTCATCCCCTTTGTACTGCTCAACCTGTTAGCACTAAAGATAATGACCACCTGAAATTATTTCTTTCTGCTTTCATCTTGATGATATTTACCAAAGGTTCTTTTTATTGTTACCTTCAAAGAAATAATGTAAGATTCAATGATAAAATCTTATGAAATGTTTAATTAAATTGGATGGACATATAGTTTTTTTTTTAATCTCTTAAAGTTCATTTTATTTGTTTCCAATATTTTATTAGCTTTATAATGTATATAAGCCATACATATCTTGAGTGACTGTTTTAGCTATAACCACAATTATGAACAGCTGATATTTGGCACTGGCATTTCCTCTTGAAAACAAATGTTATTTAGAGGTGTGTTTTTATTTTCTAGTTGTGTGCTTTTAGGACAATTAAAATCTAATTATATTGTACAGTGATCAGGAAATGTGACCTGAAATAAAACACATTATGCTCTTTATTAAGGTTCACTCCAAGGTCTAAATGTAAATAATTTTGGAAAAGATATTTGTTGTTTCAAAGAAATGAGTGTTCTATATTTCAGCAATAGAAAATTCATACAATTCTATTGGATAAACCCTAGTATTTAAGGTTGCAATTTTCAGTAATCTTAGTTATTTCTAATCTTTTAATCTGCCATTTCTGAGTGATGGATAATAATATGTCTCACTGTAATTGTAGATTGTATATTTCTCAGATTGTATAATAAATTTCAAGCAAATTTGTCAGGTGTGTGAAAATTCCAACTGCTACATCTTCTTGTTGTTCGTGATGAATTGTTCTTCTTACTGAGAAACACTCTTCCACTTTCCTCTGCTGATTCGGTATTGTAATGAACAAAATGCAATGTCTCTTATAATAAGCATTTACCTTGATTTAAATTTTTAAGTTCATTTGAGCCCCTTTTTCTCTTAATAGTTACATTTAACACTCACATTTAAAATGTTTGTATTTCTTAATGCTATTTCATTTTGTACTTTTTCACTATGTTTTCTGTATTTTTTCTTGTTTTGTATCTTATGTTCACCTGTGTTTTTTGTCTTTTTATTCATATTGGTTTTTAATTAAACATTCTACTTTTGCCTGGTCATTGTAGCTCAGTGGTTGAGCATTGATCCATGCACCAAGAGGTTACCAGTTCGATTCCTGGTCAGGGCACATGCCCAGGGTGTGGGCAATATTCCCAATGGGGGGCATGCAGGAGGCGGCCAATTGATGTTCTCTCTCATTGATGTTTCTTTCTCTCTCCCCTTCTTCCTTCCTCTCTGTCTAAAAATCAATTTCAAAAATAAAATAAACATTCTACTTTTTTCATCTATTCATTAGTAAATTTTTATCATTTGTGCTTTTAAAAAAATAACGTCTAGAGTTCATCATGTTTTTATGCATTTTAAAGATTCTGTACTTAGAGTAAGCAATAAGTTTCCTAATTTATTTTCTCCCTGCTGATTTTTGAATTTCACCATAACCTCATTTATGTTCTTTATTATTCACACTGTTGCAGAAATCCCCCACCCCACTCCCACCTTTGCACAACTCCACCCAGCCTCTCCCTCCTTGGCCTTCACCAACTTGTCTGTGTCCATGGGCTATGCATATATGTTATTTAGCTAATCAGATACTTCCTTTTATCCAGTCCCCCCACACCCTTCCCCTCTAAGAACTGTCAGTCTGTTTCACGTGTCCATGCCTCTGGTTCTATTTTGTTCTTCAGTGTATTTTGTTCATTAGATTCCACATATAAATAAGATCATTTTCTTTCTTTCTTTCTTTCTTTCTTTCTTTCTTTCTTTCTTTCTTTCTTTCTTTTCTTTTCTTTTCTTTTCTTTTCCTTTTTAAATCCTCATGCAAGGTTATATTTCCATTCATCTATAGATAGAGTGGGAGGGAGAGAGAGAGAAACATCAATGTGAGAGAGACAGATTAATTGATTGCCCCCCGCACAACCTTGACCAGGGGACCAAACTGCAACCAAGGTACATGCCCTTGACCGGAATCAGACCCTCGATTCTTTGGTCCATGGGCCAACACTCTAACCACTCAGCCAAGCCAACCAGGGCCATATTTCTTTTGATGGCGTAATCCTTAAGTAACTATCTTTGAGAATGCTTTACCTTTGACATCAAGTGATTTTATGTGTTTTGTTATAATAATTTAGAATATATAAAAAGTGAATGTATTTTTGTCTTAATAACTTAGAAATTTATTACCTGTTTTAGTTATATACTTATCATTCTAAAGATAACTTTATAAAATATATTTAATTCCATACTTTAGAAAGCAGACATTTACTACCACTGCCACTCAACTATGAATAAATAGGAAATTTTAATACTTTCAATTTCTCCCTCTTCCTCATTTCTTTTCTATCACCCAGTTTGGGTTGGTTATATATTTATTTTTACTTCTTTAAGTGTTTACCTTCAAAGATTTTGAAATAATACTTTATTACCTTACCTATCAATTTAGACATTACTTAAAATCAAAAGTGGAAGTCGGTATTCTTATATTACCAATATCCATTCTGATTTTTAAAAGCTCTAATTCTAATGACATTTACTCCATATTTTCCTTACATAACTATAAAATACTTGTTTGTGAAGCTATAGAGGTCAAGGCCCTACTGCCTATAGTGTGAATATGAAAATGATGATGACTTCAATTGGAATTTACTTAGAGTTAAGAAATATGCATATTGTTTAAATCCTGCACTGTTTTATTATTTCAAAGTATTTCAGGGTCCATTAGCTCTAAAAAAAAGTTGGATTCTCAAAAAATAGTCTGTATTATTAATCTAATGACATTTAATCGTATGACAAATTCTACATTTTTCACAGCAAAGACTCCTGTAAAGTGCTGGATCAGCTACATGGCAGACATGACGAAATAAGCCCACCAAAACCTTATCTGTTGATTCTATACAGAAAATAATTGTTCTGGACCCAAAATGAATTTCCAATGTAAATCAGAATAAAAATAATAACTTCTTTTTCCCTGCACCTTTCCCAGAGGCACTGCAACACCAGGTCGATGCGTGGAGCGGACAGAGCAAGCTCCTATTCCATCTCCCTGCTCCAAAATCCATTTACTATATTGTCCTCAGATAGAGAGTGTATCAGATATTAAACTGATAAGAACAGATACTACACTTGATCTTAGCCAAAAGGCTGAGAAGCAATAAAAGTAACTGTTTAAAAAGTGCAGTTATGGCCTGGCCAGAGTGGTTCAGTGGACTGAGCATCAGTCCCATGGACTGAGAGGTCCAGGTCTGATTCCCTGTCAAGGCACATGCCCAGGTTTCAGGCTCAATCCCCAGTAGGGGGCATGCAGGAGGCAGCTAATCAATGTATCTCTCTCACACTGATGTTTCTCTCTCTCTCTTTTCCTTCCTTTGTCTCTAAAAATCAATTTTAAAAAACACATTAAATAAATAAATAAAAAGTGCAATTATGTAGAATATCATATTGGCATAGAAAGGGTAAAAGCTATGTAATAGGAAGGATTGGATCTTAAAATAGCAAAAGAAGGGAAAGATTTCAAAAGTAGTATGAAATGCTAGGGCTAACATTTGCTGTACAGAGGGGTAAGGAATAAAGGAATTCAAATCGCTGCAAGTATCCACTGCAACCATTGAAATGGTTCACTATCTCTATTATTTGTCAGCTTACTAGTGTAATGCATGCTGGTTGTAAAATATTGAAGTATAACAGAGCATAAAAAGAAGTCTTACAGGATCCAAACCTGAAATAAGAAAACAAATTAGATTTCTAAAACATACAGATACACTTCTACAGTGTTTTATGTTTGTTTTTAGTCATTTATAGCATTTATAGTTTTGGGTTCCTTTTAACCAAAAGATGAGCTTAGATAGGAAATAATTTATTTAACTTGTCCCTTATTTGGCAACAATTTTCTTGTTTTCAATATTTCACAATTTGCAAATAAGAGTACAATGAATACGCTCAATGAATGAGTATACTGGAAATATATTTGAGCACATTTGCAAAGTATACCTATGTTTCTCAAATAGATTGCTGACAGAGTATAAACATTTTATATTTTAATAGATAAACCAAATTTCTCTAAAAATTATTAGATTACAGTATTACACACCTACCAAAAGCACTGGCCATTTGCCCATGTTGTCATCAACACTGGTTAAGAAATTAAGTATTTTTAAATGTTGATTTTAAGAGGTGCCAAAACATTATAATGAAAAGTTTGTTCCTCTCCCCAAAAATAACTAAAGGAATAGGATTATACTGAAAATGATAGTATTGACAGGAGAGAGAAACACATGGAAAAGTAAATCCTAACTAAGAAAACAGTTCAAAGTGTTAAAAGAGAAGGGTTATAATAAAAAGAACAGTTCAGTTTGATATAGTCCCATTCATTTATTTTTGCTTTTACTTCCCTTGCCTTTGAAGTCAAATTCATAAAATTCTCTCTAAGACCAAAGTCCGAAGTTTAGTACCTATGTTTTCTTGTATGTACTTTATTGTTTCAGGTCTTATATTTAGATATTTGATTCATTTTGAGTTCATTTTTGTATATAAGGACAAATAGTCTAATTTCATTCTTTTGCATGTGGCTTTCCAATTTTCCCAACACCATTTATTAAAGAGGATTTCTTTTCTCCACTGGATATTTTTGGCTCCTTTGTCAAAATCATTTGCCCATATACATATGGGTTTATTTCTGGGCTCTCAATTCAGTTCCATTGGTCTGTGTATCTGTTTTTCTGTGAATACCATGCTACTTTGTAGTATAATTTGAAATCAGGGAGTGTGATACCTCTGGCTTTGTTATTTTTTTTCTCAGGATTATTTTGGCTATTCGGGGTCTTTTGTGGTGATTAGATGATTTTTTTGTTCCATTGCTTTAAAAAACTGTCATTGGGATTTTCATGGGGATTACATTAAATCTGTATATTGCTTTAGGTAACATGGACATTTTAACTATGTTAATTCTTCCAATCCATGAACACAGAATATCTTTTCATTTCATTGTGTCTTTTTCAATCTCTTTTAACAATGCTTTGTAGTTTTCACTACATAGGTCCTTCACATCCTTTGTTAAGTTTATGCCTAGGTATGTTATTCTTTTGGTTGCAATTGCAAAAATCGTTGTTGTTGATATTTTTCATTTCCTTTTTTTTTTAATTTCATTGTTAGTATATAGGAATGCAGTGAAATTTTGTACCTTGATTTTGTATCCTGCAACTTTACTGTATTTGTTTATCACTTCTAACACTTTTTGGTGGAGTCTTTAGGGTTTCCTATATAAAGAATCATGCCATCTGCAAAAACATGATAATTTTACTTCATTCCCAATTTAGATGCCTTTTGTTTCTTTCTCTTGCCTGTTTGTTAAAAAGCTTCTGCATAGCAAAATAAACTGCCAACAAAACAAAATGGCAACCAACTGAATGGGAGAAGATATTTACTAACAACAGCTCTGTCAAAGGGTTGATAATCAAAATATATAAAGAACTCATAAAACTCAATACCAAACAAACAATCTAATTAAAACATAGGCAAAGGACCTAAACACACACTCTCCCAAGAAGACATATGAATGGCTAACGACTGAAAAAATGCTCAACTTTATTAGCTATGAGGTAATGCAAATCAAAACTACAAAGAGATACCTCCTCACACCTGTTAAAATGGCTACTATCAAAAAGACAAGTAATAAGTGTTGGAGAGGTTGTGAAGAAAAAGAAACCCTCATTCAAAGCTGCTTTGAAGGTAAACTGGTACAGCCACTATGGAAAAAAGTATGGAGGTTCCTCAAAAATTTAAGAATACTTGCCTGGCCAGTGTGGCTCAGTGGTTGAGTGTCAATCCATGCACCAAGAGGTCGCCGGTTTGATTCCCAGTCAGGGCACATGCCCAGGTTGTGGGCCTGATCCCCAGTGGGGACATGCAGGAGGCAGCCAATCGATTGCTCTGTCTCATCAATGTTTCTGTCTCTCTCTCTTCCTCTCTCTCTAATATCAATAAAGAAAAAAACAATTTAGAATACCATTAAGTTACAAAATGACCCAGCAACCCTGGGTATGTACCTGAAAAATTTGAAAACATTTATTTGCAAAGATATATGCCACCCTATGTTCACAGTGGCCAAGACATGGAAACAACTGAAGTGTCTTTTGACAAATGATTGGATAAAGAAGATGTGGTACATAGATACAATGGAATACTACTCAACCATAAGAAAAGATTAAATACTGCCATTTGTAAAAACATGAGTCTGGAGAATACTATGATAAGCAAAATAAGTCAGACACAAAAAGAACAACATAATTCACTCACATGTGGAATATAAAACTGAAAACAAGAAATGAACAAACAAAAAATAGACAGAGAGACTCATAGACACAAAAAACAGTATTGTGGTTATCAGGGGGAAGACTAGCGGATACAGTAAAGGGTAAAGGAGGTCAAATAACTGAATACGGAAAGTGATTAGACTTTAGGTGGTGGGCACACAATGCAATATACAGATCATGTACCATAGAAATTTACACTTGAAACCTACATAATCTTATTAAGAAATGGTACCCCAATAAATTTAAATTTAAAAAAAAAAACTATAAATAGAGTAGTTACCATAATAATAAAAATAATCTAATATCCACAATTCTTTGCTGTTTTTTGCCAACTAGCATAAAGAAATGTGCTGTGAAATATTGATCAACCCAATAATAATTATTTTTAAATCAAATGTTACTCTTAGTAAATATATAATTACACATTTTCTGATGTCAATGATAATGAAAGGTAAGGGTGTCTTTTGACTTTAGATAAGGCTTTTTTTTTTTTTTTTTATCCTCACCCGAGGATATTTTTCCCTTTTTTGTACAGATAGAGTGGGAGGGAGAGAGAGGAAGGGAGAGAGAGAGAAACATCGACGTGAAGGGACACATCGAGTGGCTGCCACCCGCACGACCAACCAGGGCCGGGGACAAACTGCAACCGAAGTACGTGCCCTTAGCGGGACCCGAACCCGGGTCTCTCCGGACCGCAGGCCGACGCTCTAACCGCTGAGCCAAACTGGCCAGGGCTTTAGATAAGGCTTTTGACTGCCTTTTTAAAATCTGTTTAAAATCAGAACCCACTGTCTGTTTTATATTAATTTACCACTTTAAGCTTTGCTATTCTCATAACAATATAGTCACATTGAATGTGATATTATGATTGAAAGCCTCTAGTGATGTTGTATTTTCTGCTATTTTAATAAGAAATAATTAAGTAGAAATTAAATTATACTCAACTTACACAACTAAATTGAAGCCACCAGTTCCCTGAGTGTCCTTCAAACACTCATTTAATCAGTAAGCGTTGTTAATGGTAACAGTTACATGCTTACTGAGAGAGCTTAATTAAGAAATACAGTGATGAAATTAGTGAAGGTACTAAAGGAAGCCATATGGACATTTAGTCTCTCAACCCATTGACTGTCTGTATTCACTTTACGTTTTTAAAATGCATGTAGGAAATATTTGGTGAGCCAATATAGCAATACCAGATGTACTTGGCAAGTTGATTATGAAATAAACGATTTTATGATCACACTTGTGTTTTAAACGGTGCTGTTCTGTCATTTAAGGTTCACATTTATAACACATGCTTCTTGTTTAGTATTGTGAATTGTGTCAACTTGTCAAAGCATATCATATATTTCGTTTTCCTTTGGATCTGTTCAGTAAGTATGATTATTGATTCTCTTAGCAGGAAGGATAAATTATTCAATCACATTGTGGGGAGTATGGTATATTACACAGTCTTAATTTTCTTATTAACATGATGACATTGATATGACACTATAGGCAACCAGGAACAATCAACACATATGTCTAAAAGTCATGTCAGGTTGCATCCAGTTCATTAAATACCCGATTCGTGTAACCTAACAAGATTTGATCTGAACATTCAATGGTGTCTTTATGCTATATATGATACAGTTTTGTTTAACTAAGCTCAAAGGTAAAATGTACTCTGGAAGTAATTCTTTATTAAGAGAACATAACTATAATTATTCTAGGCATAGTAGACTAATAATAAAAACCTTAGCCTATATTTAGCCATAATAGAAAATAAATGTGACTACAGCAGTAAGCATGCCTTTCTGAAGAAAGCAATTAAGTATTATAACTTTTGCTCATGCAATAAAT